GATTTTTTATTTAGTTTGATATATATTGCCTTGCATGCTTATAAGATTCATGTCATGAGTATGTTGCGCTGTTATGTCTTAAATTCTCAAGTTTAAGGGCATGACAATGCACCATTTCAAAGTCATTACAATCTTTGCCTATGTGACCATTCATATCTTCTCCAATAAACAACTTTTCTTCATCTGGAATGGCTCGTACTACCTCATCTAAATTTTTTCCAAAATTTTTGCTTACTTGCTTAATTCAAACTTATTTGTAAGGTGTAAACACTAATGACATTAAGAGCTTCCTCTCATAATATAAGTTTAACATATAAAATTCTATCTTACTTTCGTTTAACCTTAACCATATCATCCTTTAAAATCTTATCTATAATTATTGCCACTCCATTTTTACTCCTATCTTTATCTATAAACCAAAGCTTAAAATCTCACATTTCTATCTCTCTAGCCTTCCCTTACTGACTTAGTTTCTTAAAGACAGATAATATTAATATTTCTTCTAGTCATGACCTCATTTATCTCTACTAGCGTACTAGTTAATGATCTTATATTTCAAGTAGCTAAATGTAACCTATTCCCATGGACTAACTTCTTTACTTGTCTTTGTCCATTAAAACACAAGAACCACTACCTACTTGACACCACACCCGAGCAGCGATGTGACATGTTGCTTATGAGCAATGACCTAACAACCCTTATCCATTTATCATTACACTCAGATTCTGATGTAGCGTGACCTAACAAAAATTTTTATTTTGGTCTCTTATCATGTTTGACTAGGTTTGACATTAGTCATCATCCTATTACAACCCTCATTGCTTTATCTAGGCTTGAGATCAGCAATATGGTAACACACAGGTAGAGTTAATAAATTTAAATAAATATGACATATTTATTGAATTAAATTCATGCAAGCTATAATGCATTTAAATCTACATGATGAATGATGAACGAATATATCTCATGCTTGCATGCAAGAAAAAAGAGTATGTTTTACTAAATTGAACTTGTTGCTAGGTTTAAAAGAACACCTTTATAGGTTGGATGAATTTGATTAATGATTCCATCCCTTTTCATATTGCTAATTGGAGAATTCAACAAAGTTTTGACTTTGGACTTCAACCAAGTATGATTGGGCCATTATTTGATTGAAAGATCATATTAATGATTAGGATTAATGAAAAAAAGATGAAAAAGAAGTGAAATTTGATTGTGTAGTTGAAAAAATGTCAATCTGTACTAGGTTGAATGGATTGAGGGTAAATTAAGGTTTTTAGGATGTTGTGGAGGTGTTTGGCAAGCTATGGATGAAAAGTGTTAAAGAACGACAGCTCACAAATAAAAGTAAAATGCAAAGAAGAATGAAGAATTTTATTTCATTTCACACCTAGTATTCATTACATAAGTTGGCCTATAGACATCAATTACATCATTCCATCATTCTTATAATATTTTTGCTAATTATAAAGCTCTTTAAAGACAACTACTAACTAATATATTCTCGATAGCTTAGTAGACTTAACGATATTGGTAGCTTTGTATTCCACGTTCATCCTTCTATAAGCTGCCTCCCTTAACTCTTTCTCACGTTGCACATTTTCCTTTGTCCTATCTGGCATTTTAGCTCCCTATTCTACCTTTCTATCTTTTTCGTAATAGTCAACTTCCTTGAATTACCAGCAACAGTACACAACTTCATCACAAAAAGAATTTTGAATGGATAAAGGGTAAATTAGGGTTTGAGGAAAGTTATGAAAGTGATTGGAAAAGGGGCTTCTAAATATACCACATAAATTTCTCTTTACACCAAATCAATTTTCTTTCAAAAATACCCATATAACAAATATCAAATTTATCCTTTAACAAATTAAAATTTTACCTTCTTTTTCTTTTTTCACATTTTTCCTTTTTTTTTTTTTTCTTCTTCTTCCTCTTTCATTCTTCTTTCTTTTATACTAAGTTGAATTTGGTTTTTTAATGGTTTTGAAAATCTATTTCCAAGAATACAACAAAATTTTCAAAAAATCTATTTTGAAAAATTATGATATATTTTCAAAAATGAAAAATTGAAATTTATATTGTATTTTTGAAAATGAAGTTTATGGGAAATGGATTTCTAAGAGCCTTAAAGGCTTCTTGAAAATGGATTTCTAAGAAATTTAAAGGTTTATGGAAAATCCATTTTTGAAAAGCTCAAATTCCGCAAAATCCATTTCATAGACCCTAACCTATTTTTGCACGCATTTAAGCAAAATCAAATGAATTAAATCTCGAAATCTTACTTTTAATCAACGAAAGACTAAAAAAAAAAGTAATTTTAGGGTTAATTTGGGTTTAAGATTGAAGAGAGAAGGAAGAAAAAATCTTGAGGGTATAAAGGGAAAATCAATTGTTAAGGGATGGGGTGTATTTATTAGAAATAAAAAAAAATTAAGTTTGAATTTGGGATGTATTTAGTAATAGTGTATAGATTGAAAATGAAAGTGTAAATAAAATTCCCTGATTGTAAAACGATGGAAGAAAAGGTTTAGTGTGGAATAGCTCGAAAAGGTGGCCAAAGTTAAATAACCTTTAAATACCAAGAAAAATTATGAAAAGTCGCTCGAGAAGTTATGAATGAAAAACATGTGTGAAACCAAGGGCCTATGCAATTTATAGGCACGATTAGGACAAAAAGGACAAAGTTTGATACTTGAGGCGCACTCCCTTCTAAAACCTTAAAGAAGATAAGAGAAAATCTTAATTTTTGAAATAAAACACACTTTTGCTATTTTGGTTTTCAAATTTGATCAACTTCAAAATATTATAATTTGTTCATCTAACGTTGGAATTAAGTGATTTTGGGATTGATGGAAATTGTATGGCTTAATTTTAAAATGAAATTAGTTTTACTAAAATATTCAATTAATTTTCAAAATATTATAAAAATACTAAAGGTATATCAGATTTCAAAACGCACTTGGTAATTTAATCACATTTTACGCAATACTTATCATGTTTGAGTTTATAATATACCAAAAGAAAAGAATGTGTGCTTTTTTCAACCCTGTAAAGCTTGTCCAATAATTCTAAATTTTGAAAAGTTATGAAAAGTATAATCAAATAGCATCAAGTGGTTGAAATAAAAATTTCCTAAATACTTTTCAAAGGAAATTTATGTTAATGTATGTACCTTAAAGTTAATCGGTTGATCAATATATATATAGTTAAGTTGCTCCAAATCACTAAATCTAGTGATTAAAATGTTTTCTTTTATCATCATTATAAGGATAAAAAGTTATCAAGGTTGTAATTAGATGAAACCCATGCAACATAATAACCTTGCAAAGGAATTGTAATGAGTTACAATTATGAGATCCTTATGCATCAAAGCCATGTACCTAAGACTATTCCTAGTCAATGTATTGTTAAGACAGGGCATTAACATTACTTAGAGATTGGTATATTTAAACATCCTTACTTATGAAATAAATAACCAATCTTATAAGTTAAAGTACGAAGATACTTGGTGATAACATTATGGTGCATTCATTAAAGATGGCTAGCTATGAAAACTACATTGGTATTTCACTCAAATGTCTATGGAAATTCTCAGGTGTTAATCATGTAACTAGTTTTCATATTCGAGACACTAAGTAATCTTATATGTGAATCATCATATTTTTATTTCATTTATATGAGTCAAGACTCCTGATTCCAAGAAATGTGTTTTTGCGTATGATTTGAAACATGCGAAAGTGAATGAGTGGTCAAAGAAAACCCATCACCTCAAGTGATATAAGGGGACATATCTTATTTGTTTCTTGGCTTTAGTTAACTTATAAAGCCTTTGGCCAAAGCATGATGACAAATTCATACTTGATTTATAAGTATATTTTGGTCATTCTTGATAAATTTGATATTATATTCATTGTCAAAATATTGGAAGCCTAACATGTCACACACATAAAGTAACATTATTGAATTAAATTAGTATTAATCAATTAAGTTGGACTTATTTGATAGAAACCAGAATAATGAGGTTAAAATTTAAGTCTCTAAAGACTTAATTAAAAAGATGTACAAGTGATATCTTTAAGTATAAGAGTTAAAATTTGGGGAACATTATAAATACCTTTGTTATAACCTTAGCTAAACACACTAGAGAGATTATGCAATGGAAAATACAAGTTTGTGACACAAAAAAGGCGATAATAAAATTAGGTTTTTCCTTCGAATTTAGGTATACCTTGTGTTCCTCTTAAGAAAAGTTTTTTTTTTTCTTCCTCATTTTGTATACGTTGAGGCTAATGTCAAGATAGGACTAGTTTCTTGTTGAAACACTTGCTAGCACTCATTTAAAATCCCTCTTTGAGAAGGATTGGGCAAAATTTGTTGTATGAATCACCATTGGAGGCCAAATGCTTAGGTGGCTAAAGTCTTGACTAATTTCAATTTCAATGCCACCCAAGGGCTATAATTAACTCTTGATTACAATATTTTGAGTTTCGTATGATTCTAAACAAATGGTTGCTTTAAAGTTTTAAATTACATACATAAACACAAGTATGACCGTGCGTTGTCTCAATTTTTTATTGTCTATTTATTTTGTTGCATTTCTTTATAGGATTAATATCTTGAATGATCTCCAAACTATTGTCAAATATTCAATTCGGTGCTTGAACTTTAAAAATATTGAATATGATACTTGAATTATAAATTTTTAACTAATGTGATACTTGAAGGGTTGTTTGTTTACTACATATCATCATTTGAAACTAGCCCCATTAAAGGTAAGTATCACATAAGTTAATAGATATATAATTCATATACCATACTAAAAATTTTTTAAATTTAGATATCATATTGAATATTTTACTATAATTTATGGGTTATTCATGACATTAACTTTTCTTTATAAATATGATGTATAATTCATAATAATTGTTATCCATGTTGCCTAGATATACCAACAATTTAATACTTGATTTTGACATCAATACTAATTTGCCTTAAGAAGTTAAGTCTCTAAAATCATTTTCAAACCTAGATTATGAAGGTGTAAAATTTCTCGTTTACATTCCTTGCAGCAGAGAACCGGAAACAAAAGCGCACATCTAAGCACTAAAAAAAGTACTCATATGATGCTGGCAGTTTATTGATATGGTGAAATATTAACCTTTACACAAGGCACTCGAAGCAGAATGAGCATGTATATAGAATCTAAGTGCTGCATTAATTGTTATCCATCTACGAATTAGCGTGCGCAAACTGGAGGCTGGCGAAATCCAGTTTGGCACTATTTTGCAGCTTTTGCAAATCCTACCCGCAGATTTCCGAAGTCAAACACTGTATGGTATGCGCTCAGAAACCGATCTCCGAGTACCCTGCACCATACACCAGTCCAGTGGGAGTGACAGTTACATCAAAATTCAGATTGAAAGATTCAAGTAAATATCAAAATACAGAACCACCTTAAGAGATGAATTTTTTTGTTCATCTCATTTCTAAGCGACACCTACACCTACCACAGTAAATAATAAAATAGAGAATGTCATCGTACCAAAGAGGACCTCGTGGGGGAGGCACATCCAAAGGGACAAAGCCACTGACACACACGGTAGAACAGCCTTCTTCAACTTTAAGAATATACTATATGCCAATGGAAAATAACACATTAGAAATTCTCTGTCAAGGCATAGATGGAGAGAGGAATTCGAAAATGAACGCTGCAGGTAAAAAAATTCTATAAATTCTATCTATTCTCCAGATTCTAGCGACATTTGAACTCAAGCTATGCTAGAAGACTGTCAGTGTTTATAGAGCCAACTTAAATTAAAACGGTACATTGCCCAAGTTACATGTTTGCAGTATCAAAACAGAATAAGCGGTGGATGATCAAATCCTAAAGTGTATTATACCTGTTCTGGAGTAAGAGGGAATGATTTGTTTCCGATGGTAAATGTAACATCTGGCAGAATGTCAATGTAATCACAGTTGACAAATGATTTTCCAACGGGATTTGGAAGATTTTCGCACAGCTTTGACATTGACATTGAAGGATTTATTAGTCCAGGTCCGTACACATGTTTCGATGATGTGATATCAGATAAAGGCAAATTTATTATCCGCAAGAAGAAGCACCTGATTTACATGTTTGAATACTTTTTCCTTTATTTTCTGTTGTTTGAGCTGAACTTGAATCCAGAAAACAATCATCTCACAGAAAGTACACACAGCAGTCTCACCCATTGCTGATCCTACCCTAGTTTCATTTTCTACCACTGTCTTGAGGCCGCCACTGCACGGATTCAGGTTGAGTGCTTCTTCTTGTACTAACTCAAAATAACCAAACCCCACTCTTCCCAAGTAACGATTCATAAATTAAAAAAAAACAAAAAAGAAAATTTTGGCGGTGGAGTAGTTAAGAAAGATGAAGAGAATGAAACCGTTACCTCACATGCTGCGATCCATTATATGAACATAACCCAATATCGACGCACAATATTTCAGGCCGTACCTGCTGAGATAGAGGTATATTAAAAGCCATATCCCTTTATAAGTGTTAGGATTCTGAAAAAAAAAAAGCCTAATAAAAGAAAAGTCTTAAATGAAAAAAAGAACAAACCGCAGATATTAAGGAGTCCCACAAGGAATACCCATACTTAAAAACAACATTTTTGCATTCCAAGCTTACAATTCCTTCTGCTCCAATTGCACGGTTGATCTGAGCCACAATTTCCTGGAAATGACTGCTAGTGAGACCTTGAGAGCGATAACAGTGAAAGCAACCAAGACAAGACTATACAAATCAATGGCACTGAAATTAAATTGACTAGAAAGCGAATGTCATGAACAGGTACAGTTGGCCCTGCAATTAATGGTGTCCCCGAATCCAGAATGGCAGCACAGCCATTCTTGCATAGTCCTGCAAAATAAACGTATTAAGGCTGCATTTTTTTTTCAAATTTCTTTTTTTTTTTTTTGTTAATATCCGACGATAACTCGTATAATGCTCTACAAACTTTTTGTTAGATAAAATTCATTAATGACTAAACAAGGTAGATAAAGAGTACCTGTTGAGTTGTTTTCTACTAATATATCTCCTACCTCAATCTGGAATAATGAATGAAATTATAGTTATATATCAACCTTTATCATGAGAAGAAGCTTGAGTATAGAAACAAATTATCAACTACAGAAACCTGCCAATAACCGCCTTTGGTAACTGGGACATAAGTGTGGTCACCTCTGAAGTGCCTCCAGTCAAGACCTCCAAAGACAATTTCACCTCCTAACTCTGATGTTAAATCTCCATTTAGCCAGAGAGAGAAAAGTTTCTGGCTAACATGACCTTGTTGCACCATGTTGGACCTGAATATAGAGTGGTATGGACTATAAAAAATATACTGCTAACGTTAATGGAGAAAGAATATATATATATATATATATATGTGTGTGTATGTATTTATTATTTAATGAAAAACCAGGACTAAATTCATCAAAATGATGCTGCAAAGGTTATTTAATTATAAGATCATTTAAAAATTATACCACAGAGGAGTAGCTTGTTCCACAGAAATTTCCTGAAACCCAAGTCCAAGAATTCCGTCATATTTTGCAACTAGGAATGGTAGAAAACCTTCCCTTGTAATCTCTATGAACTCCTGAAGAACAGTAGATGTCATAACGTAATTTTTTTTTTTTTTGAAACACAATTATGTAAAAGATAATATTTCATATGAATAAAATTACTCACTTGATCTTTGACAGCAATATCCCCAACTTTAACATGATCTAGGCTAAAGAAGCCAAAAATAGATCCAGAGCCATAGTTGATTTTGCAAGGTATCCCTGGAAGAATTTGAAGAATGTTCCAAAAAACTGTTAAGAAAAGATACATAAAACTGCAGAAAACGAAGAACTTCCAAACATAACGCAGGCAGCAAAATTACCAATCTTGGTATATGTACTGGATAGCCTAGCCCGAAACTTCGAATGGAAATGACAAGGAATCTGCATAAAATAACACTTCATAAAGTGGTTCCTATTGATTAAGCAACGTTAATACACTGAATATTCAAGGTGAGACTTACAGAAACAACGCATTTTGATGATGGCACCCAAAGATTAGAGCTCCCAGTGTCAAAGACAACAGAAAAGCTCTGAGAGGGTGAACCTATGCCAATTTGTCCATAATATTGGGTATCAAGATAATTCTTTAGATATATTATATCTGCTTCCTGATCATTCACATTGCTTTCAAGCCCTACTCCGGTGATCCTTGCAGCATTTATTCTTTTAAGGTCTAAAGGCTGCTTTTTCAGGCTGATCCGCACTAGCCCATCAGATGAAGCAGTGAGAAGTTGAATCCAGGAGGTTATCCAAATCCATATAGAGATTGCAGTCAGAAGAAATTTAATGCCCATGATGCACTATGATCCAGTCTAAAATAAAGATTAGGAGTAGCTTTAGTAGAAAGAGTATAATAACTAGAAATTTACATCTAGTATGTGAAGCTTTTGCATATGCAAAAGGATATAACGACTCTGTGCATATGCCTATCCTACCGGCCACTTTTTCCAGAGAAAACAGAGGCTTTTCATTATTTTAACAGCTTCAATTAAATGGTTTAGTTCCCTACACCTGGTAGCATTAGAACTCTAGGTCATGCTTTATATTACACAGTGGTTTAGAAACATAAGTAAAAGCACACGCCATCTCCATGCAAGAGAGAGAATGCCAAATCATGAAGATATAAGAACAAGAACAAAATTAAGATTACTTTGTTTACAATAAAACATATACTAGTAATATAGTATATATTAACGAAAATATGACGGTAAAAATTGTGAGAAGGGAAGTTCATACCTGAGGTCGATCAGAGTTTGGTAGGCAAATTTCTGCCCAACTTCTTTTTGTTATGTGTTGCTCCCTCTCTAAGTAGGAAGAAATGAGTTTTGGCCACAGTACTTCAAAGGATTGCAGTTTGATGGATGGGATGGGTGTCTTTGTAATTCCCCGATTAAATATATAAAGATTTTATTAAAAAGTCTTACGAATTGAGGATGTTTCCTGATGGGACATTATCAGAATAATAACATATACCAAGGTTTATTTTAACAAAAAGAGAAATATGCAAGTATCAAAGTTAAATAACTCATTTTTATTTTGGGTAAAAAATATTATGCGCTGACTAAAACAAATATGAGATAAGGGAAAAAATTTAAATAAAGTTCTTTAAGCAAAATTTGTGAAGCTTTTTACTATATATAATTAAATAAAAATAAAAATTGATAGATAAAAATGTTTCATTACATAAATTAAATGTGTAAATTTTTAAAAAATTTTAATATATTTTTTTAGACAGATATTTTTAATAAAAATATTGATAAATTTTTATCATTTAATAATTATCGATCAAATTTGAATTATAAATATTATTTTTAATAATTTTATATATTATTAATTTTATATTAAATTTCTATCAATCTATTGGATTGAATTTTTTACTAAAGTTTTTATTAAATTATTTTTCACCTAAAGAATTTTATATAAGTTTTGTCCTAATCTATGTACTCTAATCTCAAGGTGTAAAAATATATGCATATGATATGATATATAGATAAAAATTTATATTCATACTTGAGTTTTTCGTGAAGTAAAATTATAAGACTTTCAGATTGAAAATCTCGTAAGTTGATTGAAGATTTTCACATATTGTATCAAAGTGATTACCAACTTAAAATTAAAAAGCTAAATACTATATCATAAGAGTTATATTTAAAAATCTCAATGAGTGAAAACTAGAAGTTATACCAACTTCAAAATCTCAACTTAAAAATTTTAATGAGTGGAAACTAAGTGTTATATTGGTTTCAAAATATTAATGCTTATTGTGACACTGATCGTAATTAGCATGATTCTGTGTCAAGTTTGACAGGACGTCAAATTTTAACAAGGAAATTGTGATATCCCATTGGAAAAATGTGTGCCACAATGGCTTCAGAATCTCAATGCCTGATTTGTTTCTGATCATGATTCTACATTGAGCTAAAAAATACATCAAATTTTAATGAGATGTAACTCTGTTGGGAAAATTATGATGCCCCAATTTCATATTAAGAAAAATAATATGATAGATATATATATATTTAAATCTATATTTGTGAGATATGGGTGCAAATTTCGCCGACAATCATATCATTTGTCTTTCTTTTTTTTTTTTTTAACTTTAGTCGCTCAGCTCATTCACAAACTTTCAGCTCTGCCCGCGAAACTACCGCGTAGTTTCCAAAACTGTCATAAGTCATAAACTAAGAGTACGTTCATGGAGAAAGCAGCATGCAGTGCAGAGAAGTCAGTTTGTACTATGTACACGGAAGATTGCCTTCTTCTTCTTAATTTACAACATGACAGGATTCATTGTCCTCTATCGATAAATTTTCTTTTTCAATTTTGGGAGGTCGTTGATGGCATTGCTGTATTGGTATTTGATTGTTTAGGGAACTCCTCATCTCCTTTAATCCTCTTGGAAATATCCTGGGTTAACATAACTACCATTTTAATGGATTAGTCTTCAACTCTATCTCAGTTTATTCAACGTTGATCAAAATGTAAGGAAATTCCATCCGTAATGCCAGTCATGTAACCAGTTACCTGATTCTAAATGCACATATAATTTGCCAATAGTTGTTATTTAAGACAATCTAAAACTGGAGAAATAAAATTGCTTTTTCGTGAAAGTCCATTTTTACTTGTTCTACAGAGTCTAAGCAGCTCAAGCAACTGGTTTTAAATCAATGCTCTCCATAATACCATCAAGAAAAAAAAGAAAAATCAAATGTGTCTCAAACCTCCAAGGAGACAACTCTGCCCTCGGGCCTTCCGAGGAATTTGTGACCGACCATCAACACAAACATACAACCTATAGGACTCTTGCAACTTTTTGGAGATTAGAACATATCAGCTTCAAAAATTTTGGATTCTAAAGAGGTCTGCAACTTTTTCTAAGCTTTTAAATGAAAAAAAAAAAAAAAAAAGAGTTGCTGGCTAAGAACTAGCATCTCTAAATGCGATTTTGAAAAAGTTCTGCTTTTAGCTGCAGTTAAGGTTTTCTTAACCAGCTTGAGCAAAGCAATGCATTGACACCAACGGTAATGGACGCTGCTGCTTCCATTCTCGATTGACCACCATCTGATGATAGTGTCATTTTTGGATCAGATCTAAAACGTTTTGATCTTCCGAAAATTTTCTTCTAATAGAACTGAATACGATTCGTGGTTGAATGCAAAACCCAGGTGCCAATATGGCAATAAAGTTGATAAAAGTACTTCCTTAAAATCTTTTCCTTTCAATTTGGGATGTAGCAAAGTAAAGGATAAAATGTTGCCCAGCACATCCATTAATAATTTGAGTACAATGATACGGCATCATAGTATAACATAGCCAAGCAATCATTGATCATCTTGCAAATAGCACTGGGTATTTCCTTAGACAGCCCTAAACAGCTTCTGCAAATCCTACTCGGAGATTACCAAAATCAAACACAGTGTGATATGCTTCCATGAAGATTTCCCCAAGAATCCTACACATGTAAAAAGATGTAATGCATGAATGAAGAAGAATTCAGATACTAGAACAAAAATGACAAAGCATTTATCACGTGAATTAGTCCATGCATTCTATAATTAGGTACATATCACGTACGTATTTTTTCGTAGGAATTGTAATGATGGCCAGATAACTATAGAAACAAGGCACGAGAAGTTACCAGAGAGGACCCTGAGGAGGAGGAATATCCAATGCAATAAAGCTACTGACGCAGAAGGTAGAGAAATTTTGTTCCACTCTGCGGATGTACTGATCGAGTGATGAAAAGACAATAAGAAGTAGAAGACGTTTTATTTCATATGAACTTCATGAAATAAAGAGAAATGATGAAAATAAGCATCTACAGTTTTTGGAAAAATGTTTTCCAGTTTCCCTTTCCAGGTTTACTCTAAACATAGTGAATAAATCAAGTAATAGTAGTAACTAAATTTGAAATTTTGGAAAATAAAGGTTCTCAAACTTAGTTGAAATAGATAAAGCAAGGAGTGAACATGGATGCTTCATTATATTACAGCCGAAATATAATAACTAAATTAAGTAATAGTAGTTTGGTTTTCTACAAATTTAAAAAAAAAAGAATAGGTCACCTAACTTAATTAAGTATTACCTTATAAAATATTTCATTGACCATATAAATTGAACATGGATATGGAAAATGGAAAGCATTTTCTAAAAGAGCTTTTTCCCCTCTTCATCTGAAAACCCATATCTTTATTCGCTTAGTCACAACCGATTAAAAACAGGCATTTCAAATTAAGCTAAAAAAAATTTCTCCTTATGCCATACCTGCTCGGGAGTAAGGTGGAAGGATTTATTCCCAATGATAAATGAAACAGTCGGCATGTTTGGTATTTTTTCACAATCAACAGCTAGTTCTCTTGTGGGATTTGGTAGGTTATCGCACAACTTCAGCAGAGTTAAATGTACATAATTATTAGTCTCATTATGTAGAAATTAATTTGTAAGTATTTTGTTTGATTGGAAAGATGAAAAGAGGTAAAGATAGAAAAATTGTTAATCTAATGGTTACGTTACAAGAAAATTGTTATGAATTTTAACCATTAAATCATCAAGTTTTCCATCCTTATCTCTGTCCATTCTTTCTACCAAGCACTACCTAGCAAAGCCTTAATGTATAGTGAGAGGACCTTGTTCACATATTCAATTACTCTTCCTTCTGTTTTGTTTTGCGTAAGCTCTGTCCTTATCCATGCTAAAGTCAACTCACAAGCAGTGCATAGAAGGTCCTGGCCGACTTCTGTGTGCTTCTCTCTCTTTTGTTCTACCACCATTTCAATAGTTTCACTGTGCGGACTCATTTGTATTTAGTGAAAGGAAACTGATGAATCTTCAACAGAGCATATATCAACAAAAGAAAGAACTGGTGCCTAACCTCATTTTTTGAGTCCTATTGTAGGAGCATATACCAATATTGGAACATAATTTGTCGGGCTGTAGCTGTAGAGGAAGGCATGATACGCATAAAAGGCATGACCTACAGTCATGATATTAGTAGTTTGATAAGAATTAAAGACAAACAAACCCCTGATAACAAGAGCTGCCACATCAGATCGCCATACTGAGCAACCACTTTTTTACATTCCATGCTCACAAATCCTTTCGCTCCAATAGCATGATTCATTTTTGTCACAGCAGCCTGAAATTGATGATCTTGTTAAGCAAGAATGTAAAACAAGAAACACATACTTAAAGACTCAGAGTCCAAAGCTTATTAGAATTTTCTGACTGGAACCAACTTGCTATAAGATAGCTGCACATACTTTGGGGCCAGCAATGAAGGACGTGCCTGAATCCACTATAGCAGTGCAGTTGGTGCAAAATCCTGTAAGATTCGAATTTTAGGCACTCACATGCTAGTCTTTAAAATTCAAATAAAAAATTGAGATAAGGTAAAAATAAAATGCTTAGAGACAAGGCGCGTATAAGGTAAGCCACCTAACAATATTGGAGGACTTTCCTAATGCTACTTTTGCTTTAAACAGTCATAGGAAAGGTTCAACACGAACTTCTTCTGACTTAAAAATACCTTTGCAACTTAGAAGAGTCGTAAATGTCATTAAGAAATCAATGGAGGGACTCCTAAAATTGTTTTCTCATAATGTAACCATAATTCTAATTTATTTTCCTTTTTGTAATTGAGATAATATTTTTGATTAAAATGAATCAATAAAAAGGAAACAACAAGAATCCTACCATGATAACAGTATACAGTAGCATTACCTGTGGATTTGTCTGCAATTAAAAAATCTGCCAATTCAATCTAGATGAGGAAAACAGAAGAAAAAAAAAATAAAAAACACCTTTCAATGAAAATTTTCTAGAGAGTTGATATTGAAATACATTGTATAAATGAAAAAGAGAGGAAGTGCACCTGCCAATAACCTTTCCGAATGACCGGGACATAAGTATGCTTTCCCTTGAAGTGCTTCTGATCAACACCACCAAAGACAATCTCACCGCCTTCGCTGGCCGATGGATCTTTGTTGAACCAGAAGGAGAATACCTTCTGAGCAACTAGGCTTTGTTCCATCATACTGTACCTGCATCAAAAGCCTTAAAAACATTTATTTCTGCTGACAACAGGAAACATAGGGCAACAGGGGCAAGGGAAAATCCCCTGTTTAACACTTAAATGGAGATAAAAGCAAAACAATACTATGCTGGATTAGGGCCAAGAACCTCACCAAAGCGGAGCCACATTCCCCACAGAAATGTCCTGAAACCCAAGTCCAAGTATCCCATCAAAACTTGCCAAAGAAAGAATAAGACTTCCTTCTCTTATGGCTTCTGTAAATACCTGAAACATTGTAGGAGGAACAAACGGTAGGATATAAATTAAATAAAAAGGATATTAGCATGATAAAACTTGATAAAGAAAAGGCACCAACTTGATTTTTGACAACAAGGCCTCCAACTTTTATATTATCTTCACTGAAGAAGCCCAAAATCATTCCAGAACCATAATTGATTTTGCAAGGTTTCCCTGGATCAAAATCAATAAGAAAAAAAATTCTTGATTTAAAACTGAAAAAGCAATTTTTTTCTCCATTTGATTATTACACACTATCTTGAGATCATGCTTCACAAATATTACCAATCTCCGTGTATGTACTTGACTTGCTAGAGTTGTATCTAGAGTGGAAAAAGCAAGCAACCTGCATGGAGAAAGAACTTAATTTGCTAACAATGGAACATTGCCTTTTAAACTTTAAGGTTTTGCTTGGTAGGAAGGATGGAAAGAGGTGAGAATGAAAAACTTGTTAATCTAATGATTAAAATTCATAATAATTTTTTACTTTGTAACTTAACCATTAGATTAACAAATTTTTCATCTTCACCTATTTTTATTTTTCCAACCAAGCAAGGCCTAAAGGAAATTTTTACAAAGAGAACTCACGGAAAAATAACAATGTGAAGATGGAATCCATAGGTTGGAACTGCCAGTATCAAAGATGACAGTGAACTTCTGTGGTGGTGAACCAATTCCAACTTCTCCAAAATACTGAACATCCAAATAGTTCTTCAGGGAAACTATATTCATTGCTGAATCATCTGAGCCACGAGTAGTTGTTACTTCTCCCTTAGCATATGCACTGTCTGTCCCTTTAATTCTAGCGGCATTTATACTGTTAATGCCTAAGCGCTGTTTCCTTAGACCTAGTCTCACCAGACCATCTGAGGAGGAAGCAATAGCCAACCAGAATGTAGATACCAATAAACACATTACCAGTAAAAGAAACTTATCCCCCATTGATACAAGGTATCCTGTGTCCATCGGGTAAGAAAATAACTTTACCATCAGACGAATAAATAGCATATACATATTCAATAATGCTATCACATATATAGAAAAAAGAATAAGATGTTGAAAAGTCATAGAAAAGGATGTAATAGAAGGTAATCTCCTATTTCTAAGTAAAATTTTTCTCCGTCATGACTAGTGGCAGGAATGCTAATGCGGAACCACGTCAATTTTTTTTTGTTCCTTTGCATTTGAATTTGTTCTCTTTCATACTTTTTTTGTTTTATGAGTCTTGGCTTTGGGGCCAATTGCACAACCTTGTCAAATGAAGGAGGGAAGCCCATCATTTCCCAAAGTCCTATCTCCAAACAGCACAAATATTCTGTGTTATGCAGTTAACTTCAACAGCAAGGCTGTATACCCAACAAGTAGAAACTAAGCAGACGTAAGAATTTAAGCTTCTGATAATGGTCAAATTAAAGCATGAAACTAGTTAATGAGCATTTAATGAAGCAATGACTGAGCCAAAAGCATGTTGCCATCAAGTACCGTAAGGACTACGAATTCAATAATTTGTTACATTTTGGTTTGCCAGAGGTTACAAGTAGTCACCTTAAACAAAAACATAAGGGCGCTGCATATAAAGCAAACAAATCTATAAGATGTAGGTATTTTGTTTATTGTTAAAGCAAACAAGGAACACGATCACTGTTTGTGAGTTTTATATCTACTGGAGTACCAATTAACATATAGATAATGATAATGATTGCAAGGTTGTAGGGATGATACCTGAGACGAATGGAAAGCTTCAGGAAGAAGCAAGATCAGTGAAGAATAAAGAAGAAAAAGCTTCAATGTAATAAAAGCAAAGAAAAAGACTGACGATACAGAGCTTTAGTGCAATGACTAACGAACAACTCTCTTTCCTCACCAATCAGTTCACTTTATTGGAAGGAGTAGAGTGTGCCTGTGCTTAATACTGACAAAGAGAGAAGTTTCCAAACTCCGAAGTAATTCCCTCTTTCTGTTTTGGAATACTCCGAGAAATTTCTTGTGATGCATGTGGTGCAAGATGGTTGGACTCCAATGCCAGGGTGCTGCTTTCCGACAAATATATATATATATATATATATATACATATATATATATATACATATATATATATATATTAGTTTTATTCCCCGTGCTAACCAAATCGTAATTATAATATAATATAATATAATAATTTTGATATTTTATAATAATAAAATTGAAATAATTATCATTATACTAAATTAAATTAAAAATATAAATTTAAGTTTAAAAAAATAAATATAACAAAAATTAAAATTAAAATTCTAATAAAAATAAATATTTAATCTTTCTTTATTTTCATTCTCTTTAGAAGTTTTCTTTTAAGTCTTTTAGTGTTAAGTCATTATCTTCATTCTTTTTTTTAATATTTTTCTTTTTTTAAAAATTTTTTTTGACTATAAAAGATTATTTTTTATCATAATCAAATTGAATTTTGTACTTTTCTTCTTCTCTATTTTATGTTTCTTCTAGAGCTTTTTAAAGCTTTTGTAATGGTAGATTTTTATCTTCAATTTTATAAATTTTTTAGACAATTGATCATTGCCGAACTCATTCAAACTATTACTTTTCATCTATTTGCTATTAAAATTTTAAATTCATTTTTTTTTATTCGAAACCAAATTCTTATAAAGTTCTTGTTACTTGAAATAAAGTAAACATATACTGTTTTTTTTTTTTCATTACTAACTTTTGTTTTTAACATGTACTTATTTATGTAATATAAATCATTTTGTAATTTCATTTTATAGTAAAAATTGCATACTTACATGAATTTTACTAATTAAAAATATTAATTTGTAAACATATTCTAAAGAAAGGATATGAAGTAATAACAAACTATTAGTATCTCGATGTAATAATTAATGATGTTTATTTATGTATTTATAAGAGATATTGACTAAAACTACTTTTATTATCAAATACTAATTTCTTAAAAAACAATTAAATATACATAACTTATTAAAATATGTTATACTAAGAGTTTAAATAACAAACTTTACTTAAAGGTATACCTTATCCTAATCAAATAGTTTTTTATGTTGTTCTTTAAATATTCAAATATTTTTTTTCAATTAACTTTGGTTCAATATTATTATTGTTTGTTAAATAATGAAATATCATAATTTTAAAATTAATAAGATATGATCTATTTTAGACAACTATTAAAAGGTATATTTTGAAGGTAAACTATGTTTTAAATCTTAGACTTTAAAATTGATAGTGAATATATTTTAAATATTTGTACTTAAAATGGAATAATTTCATTATTCAATGAACACTTAATTATTTATCAAGTATAAGTCATTCAAAAAATTCATCATATAAACGATATGGTTATAAAATTATAATTTATAGAATTCATATTATTATTAGTATTATTAGATCATATATTTTAACTTAAAATATTATATACCTAAGAAAATAACTAATAGGTAATTTTTCTATGGTATTTTTCAATAAATTTAAACTCATTATCTTTCTCTTTCATTTTAAAAATATCTTTAAGACAACAATTTTTTGTATAATTGCTATCAATGTTATAAATGACACCATAAAACACAACAATTTATTTTAGTAAAGATATAATATTAATCTAGTTACTATTAATATATTATCAAATAGATAGTAATGACATACAAATATAGATAAAGTTATTCCAAATTTTCACTTCAAAATTTGATCTTTTTTAATAAAAATATGTTGTTATAGTAATCGGTACATGAATATTGTTTAAATTATTTATATATGTGAAAAATATCCATAAATATTGTAACTCAATACCTTAGTATTAAATGGCAATTAGTATAATTTTTTAAATGAATTAAATATGTTAGACATATTAAAAAAATATAGCTCTATATCAATATTTAACCAAAAGAAAACTATTAAGTTAGTAATGATTTATTACTACATGTTATCGATAATTTGATGTTAAGTTATATTACTAATTTATTATTAAAATATGAATAATTTACTATTAAGTTATCTAGACTTTACTACTAAGCTAAAACTGATTTACTAATAAGTTATCATTGATTTACAACTAAATTATAAGTGATTTAGCATTTAGTTATCAATAAATTATGACTAAGTTAACTCTGATTTATTATTATAACTGATTTATTACTAAGTTTTTATTTCACTCTTGCTAGTAACCGGAGTTCAATCCCTAAAAACTTCAAATATAAAAAACTTTATCATCAATTAACAATTAAATCATTACTGATTTATTACTATGTTATCAGTGATTTATTATTAACTTATTAATTATTTACTATTAAGTTATAAATAATTTACTACTAAATTATTGATGATTTAGTATTAAGTTATTGATAATTTATTATAAAGTTATAATTAATTTACTATGAAGTTATCGATGATTTACTACAGAATTATCATTGATATATAACTAAGTTATAAGTGACTTATTACTACGTTATTAGTGATTTATTGCTAAATTTAGTGATTTGCTATTATATTATTATGCATTTACTAATTACATTGATTTATTACTAAGTTTTCAATAGTTAGCTATTAAGTTATCAATTATTTACTACTAATAAATTATTAAGTTACTACTAAGTTATTTATGGTATACTATTAATTTTATCAATTAATTACAATATATGAGATAATTTTCTTTTTATATAATATAACATTATTGTTTTGTTTAAATTTAGAATTTTTTTACTAAATTTTTTTTAATGAATAAATTCATGATAGGTTTATCCTAATCCTTTTCTTTTTCTAGTAACTAGGTTCAATCATTAGTAACTTTAAGTATAAAAACATGTTATCACTAATTAACAAATAGGTTACTACTCACTTACTACTATCTTATCACTAATTTACTACTAAATTATCATAATTTATCACTAAGTTATAGATTATTTACTACTAAGCTATAAATGATGTATTACTTAGTTATTGATAATTTACTATTAAGTTATTAATAATTTATTATAATATTATTACTGATTTACTATAAAGTTATTAGTGATTTACTATAAAGTTATTAATAACTAACTAATTTACAATTAAATTATCATTGATTTATAACTAAATTATCACTAATTTACAACTAAGTTATCATTATTTTACTATTATGTTATTAGTGATTTACTACTAAGGTATTAATAATTTACTACTAAGTTATTAATGATTTACTATTATACTATTATACATTTGCTATTTTGTTATCATTGATTTACTATTGAGTTTTAGTGATTAGCTATTAAATTATAATTGATTTATCGCTAAGTTATTTATGATTTACTACTAAATTTATAATTTAATTACTATTAAACTAAACTAAATTTACTATTATGCTATCACTAATTTACTACTAAGTTTTCATTGATTTACCACTAAATTATTAATAATTAACTATTAAGTTATCATTTTTTATGAATTCATCATTAATTTACAACTATGTTATTATGCATTTACAACTATATTATAATTGATTTATTATTAAGTTATTATGCTTTGACTATTATATTATTACTAATTTACTACTAAATAATAATTGATATACTATTAAGTTATATCTTTAATTTACTATATTAAATTATTACTAATTAACTATTAATTTACTGATGATTATTATTAAGTTATATTGATTTACTTTTAATTTTTAATTATTAATTACTACTTAGTTATAAATTATTTACTATTAAATTATCATTGATTTATTACTAAGCTATTTATGATTTATTACTAAATTTGTCAATTAATTACTACTCCCTTTATATGTCCCAATTAAATTGTCACAGTTAATTTTTTTAGTTAAAATTTTTTAACTTTGACACCTATTATTTTAAATATTTTAATAAATTAAATTTTACAAAACATATATTTAGAAACCACTTCATTTAAAGTTTTTAAAATATTTTTTCATATTTTTATCAATAATAAATAAAAAATAATAGGTGATTAAAATTGAAAAAAATTGACCAACAAAAATCAAAATGTGACAATTTTATTAGGATGGAGAGAATATTAAACTGAATCTTATATACTATTAAGTTATCATTAATTTACTATTAAGATATCATTGACTCATTACTAAGTTATTAATAATTAACTACTAAGTTATCATTTATTTTTTATTAAGTTATCTTTAATTTACTAA